AAGGCCCAGGAGGCAATCACTCGCCTCGTTGGTGAGATGGTTTCCATGGATGACCAACCTTTGTCCATCGTCAAGGATGTGGCCTTTCGCTGGCTGCTGTGCTATGTTGCTCTTGTGGTATTCCATTCCCTCATGGAGGACCCTGAGCCAGCAAGTCTTGTCCTCCATGCACCGCTCTGCAGTGAAGATGGTAAAGGCTAAGCTGTCCAGAGTGCAAGGGTGGACCGTGTACTTCACAGCAGACCTGTGGAGCAGCCAGCAGCACAGCTACCTCTCCCTCACTGCCCACTGGTGACAACTGGAGGACCTCCGGACTGCTGGGGCAAGACCAAGAGGGGACAGTCCACAATAGCAGTCTCAACAATGATGAGGCAGGTGGGTGACCACTTCCCAGGCCTGAGGGGAAGGATTGGCCAACTCTAGAATCCATTTTCACAACCAGGTGACCACCTCCCAAGCCCAAGGGGAGTGTGGCAGGCCACCCTCCAAACCCTGTAACCAGGGGGAGGCGGGCGGGGTATCACCTTTCAGGCCCGAGGGGAAGGAGTGGCCACCCCCAGAATCCATGTCCACTAGGGTTGCCAAGTCTACTTACCTTGGCGTGAGCAATGTGGTTGCTTCACCTCTGGTGACGCAACCACGCTGCGCTTTGGGGGGTGGAGTTCCCCCCGGGTCCCGATTCCATGGCGGCAGAAATTGGGCCTCCAAAGCGGGGGGTTACCCGCCCCCTGCCCCCACTTGGCAGCCCTAATGTCCACAACCAGGTGACCTCCTCCCATGTCCAAAGGGGAGTGTGATGGGCCACCCCCCCCAAATCCTGTGACCAGGAGGAAGTGGGAGAGTGACCACCTTTCTGGGCCTGAGGGGGAAGGGGTGGTTACCCCCAGAATCCATGTCAACAACTGGGTGTCTGCCTCCTAGACCCAAGCCAGTCCTTGCCAAACTTGGAGGGCAGGTAGAGAAGAGTCAACTGGAGACTCACTGTGAGTTTAGCATCTCTACCACAACACAGACCTCATGAACCACAAACCAGTTCATTAAATGGGAATGTTCATGGAGGTTCATATTTCATGAGACCCCACGAACCTCCATTTTCCCAGTTTGTGCCCATCCCTAATTATGAATATGCAACAGACTTTTACGAAGCCAGTGAATATTTGTGTATGTGTGTTTTAATGGACTACAAACCAGTAAAAGGGGGAGAAATGAAGATATGCTTTTGCTTGCAAACACACACAAAAAAAGTCAGAATTCAGCAGCTTCAGGAATCAAAATCTAGGCAACTTTTTAAAAAGAGCCATGGTTTGGCATCTGGTTTTCCCCCTGAAATTTGACCTGAATTCACCCTTCAGGTAGGTGTTTTGGCAAATTTCAGTTTAATGATACAAATATCTTGACTTTCTGATGAACAGAATTTTCAGGCATTACTACAGCAGAACATCCAAAAAATGAACGTACTTGAACTATTATCTCTATAAATGCATCTCTTATTGTGATGGGTGAGATTCTTTTTCACCCACAGCTTGCTTGCTTTTTTGAAACCCCATATCTCTTTGAACTAGACAGCTGCATATAGAGTCTCCCTGGGATCCGTGTGGGAAGGATGAAGCCTGGTATGAGACTTAGCGTTACAGATATTTACAGCAATAGACTAGCTTGCTGATCTGCTAACCCACTGATGTCATGAAGTACTGGTGTTAATTAACCTAACTGACACAGTGCTCACAATTTATCTACTAGCTTGCTTTTCCTGTGCCCAAAGTTGATTGTTGAAGCTTAAAGGACTCTCATTCTTTAGTTCATGTATTTTCTTTCAATCTAGTTTCTAGACTCTAGAAAAAAAACTTTAGGGGGTAGCCACAGGATTGTGAAATTGTATGAAGAATTAAAGGTACTTTGTACATCTGCTGGTCTAGCTTCTAGAAGACGTGAGGTTCCCAGACAAAAGGCCTCTTTTATGGGAGTAATTGAATTGTTTCTCATAGTGCTCTAAAACTGTATGGCCAGGAGTAGATTGCATTTTGTAGGCCTCCTGCCCAAGTGCTAAGAAGTCAAGAGGAAGATTTTAGCACCCAGTAGTTCTTAGATTCTGTGTCTTAACCTCAAGCAGAGAGCAAGTATTAAAGAGGAGTTTGGGATTCAGTCAGGCACCAGAATGAGGAGTGTAAGCATTCAAACTGTAAATTGTGTGAGCTGCTTTAGTTGTTGTAGATTTTTCAGGCTGCATGGCCGTGGTCTTGGTATTGGGGTACCTGACGTTTCACCAGCAGCTGTGACTGGCATCCCCAGAGGTATAACACAGATGGAGTACTCTCTGTTTCAAGGTGAGAAGAATGGTAGGCAGGTAATTTATATCTACTCAGGAAGGTGGGGTAGGGCTGAGTCATTATCTTGTAGGAGTTTCCCAGGCTGTGACGTGCTAATGGAGGAGCTTTACTGAGGAGGTTCTTTTGCATTGAAATTCTAATCTTATCTGTAGTGCTGTTGTAAGATGTAGAGCATTTTGTTTTTTTCAGGACAGGAAACCATGCCCTATTTATTTTTAAACTCTCTTCTTTCCTGTTGAAATTGTGTTTATGTTTATGAATTTCAATGGCTTCCCTGTGTAATCTGACATGGTAATTGGATGTGTTGTTCAGCCTTTCAGTGTCTTGGAATAAGATACTGTGTCCTGTTTGAGTTAGGCTATGTTCAGCCACTGCTGATTTTTCAGGTTGGTCAAGTCTGCAGTGTCTTTCATGTTCTTTTATTCTTGTCTGGATGCTATGCTGTGTGGTCCCGATGTAAACCTGTCCACAACTGCAGGGTATGCAGTATACTCCTGCAGAAGTGAGGGGGTCTCTTCTGTCATTTGCTGATTGTAGCATCGTTCAGACTTCCACGTGCAAAATAAGTGACAGTTTAGGAAGTTTCATTTGGTCCCAATGTTCAGACACTCTGTGTTTATGCAAATCGCTGATCATTGTGCTTCAGCTGAATAATGCTTTTCTGTCTGTTGTCACACAAGTGCATTCCCTGATGGTAATGCAAGCCAAACCTACATCACACAGAGATGATACCAATACTTTGGTCATGATCAGGGAATCTAGAAATAGCCACCAAAAAGTCAAGCAAATCCACCTTTCCCAAACCCTGCAATTAGTGTAAACCTAGCAGTTCAAAAGCAAGACATTGCAAGTAGATAAATAGGTACCACTTCAGTGGGAAGGTAACAGCATTCCGTGTGCCTTGGTGTTTAGTCATGC